GTCAAAGTAGTCCAAGTAAGTCTGCATCATCGTGAAGTTGAGTAACTAGTAATTGAAATTTAAACAGGAATTTGGTTTTGCGGAGAAGATCGATAGTTAAGTAGACACTGCTAGTAGTAGACCATGGCTCTCGCAGACAAAATTGAACAGTGAGATCATTGCCCGTAACCTTACTTTGTGCGACCTCAGACAGATGTGTTACCAACACTATCTGTAGTATGCACAAGACTTCATTGATCAAAAAGAAGTATATTGAGACTGAGATTCAAATTCCATTGATATACCCACCACTACATATTACTGAGCAAGTCTGTTAGACAGGTAAAGGCATTAGGATTGAAAAGGTTACAATCATGGCTGGAGGTTTCCTCCCCTATCACGAACCAGGCAGTACGTTGACAATGATCCCTTCACCACTAGCATTGATCATTGAAAGAAACTAACCACATCAGTTGTCAACATTCTCATCCTAATCTCCTTTTTCCTCTTCCTCTCCCTAGCGGAATGGATCTCTTCAAAAATCATCCGCGCCGGCATCATTGGCCAGATCGCCGTCGGTATTATTTACGGAACGCCACTGGCGAACATCCTGCATGAAGATTGGCAATCCACTTTCCTTGCGCTAGGTTATATCGGCTTGATACTCATCATCTTTGAAGGCGGGCTAGGAGCCCGTCTTGACCTCCTAAAGAAGAATCTTTTTCTGAGTATGATTGGCGCTGCAACAGGGGTTCTTTTTCCGATCGGACTTTCGTACCTGCTCCTCTACCTAGGATTCGGTTATGGTGAGTAACTATACATTGTACTTGATTGGGATATCAAAGGTGACACGTTCCGACAGGTGCTGTTGAAACATTCATCGTGGGAGCATCTTTGTCTGCTACCTCTCTTGGCACGACCTTTGCTGTTATCTCAACTGCCTCCAGCACGGTCGATCTCGCCCAAACTCGCGTCGGATCGATCCTCGTAAGCGCAGCTGTCATTGACGATGTTGTCGGCCTGGTAATGCTAAGGTAGATAAGCTTCTTGCCCTAAGCCCCAGATCATTCACAGTGTTCAAACTCACGTAAAACAGCGTCATCAGTGATCTAGGCGAATTAAGTCAAGGTCACTCTGTCAACCTAGGCTGGCTAATTGGCCGCCCGATCGTAGCCTCCATCGGAATGGCTATTGTAACCCCCCTGGTAACAAAGTATCTCTTCGCGCCACTGTTCCGCCGCTATATCGAGTATCACTTCGCTCGGTTCGACCACATCTCCAACATCATTCTGATGATCTTGGTCCTCTGCGCATTTATCAGTATTGCCGCGTATACGGGGACTTCCATCCTCTTCGGTGCATTTCTGGCTGGTACGTTCTTAACTTATATCCCTAGTAAGCATCCAGATGGACCCTTTGTGGTTATGAGCCGCGAGGAAGGCGAAAGGGAGGAGAACAAGAGTCCGACATTTGTACACACCTTCGAGCGGTATCTGTTAGATGTGCAAAAGTATCTTATGGAGCCGCTTTTCTTTTCGAGTGTTGGATTCGCTATCCCCTTTGTGCAGCTCTGGACGGGAAAGAGGATCTGGAGGGGTATCGTCTTTACCCTTCTTATGCTGTTTGCAAAGGTATCAGTTCCCGTTCTCTCGCTAATCTTGGTTCTGACATGACAACTAAAACAATGGCCAGCTCATCGTCGGAATCTGGGTCCCTCTCTGGCAATTACTTTCCGGTTCCAATCTCCTGAACAGAAAGACGGCGAAAGAGTGTCCCAGCGAAGAGTACCCCAGCGAAGACAGCACAAAACCAGTCTGGTCCATAGTCTGTCTCTCTGGCCTACTTCTCGGCTCGGCAATGGTTGCCCGCGGCGAGATCGGCCTTCTCATTGTCGAGGTCGGGTACAATGAGACTTCGTACGTGAGCGAGGATGCCTTTATAACCGCCGTCTGGGCGATTCTGCTTAACACGGTCCTTGGCCCTGTAACTGTGGGGTTGCTGGTGAAATTTCATGGAAAGAAGATAGAGAAGGGAGCATGGGGCCTTCAGGAGGCTGTTCCTGCTGGTGGTGGCGGTAGTGGTGATTCAAGCATCGATTCCTCAGTTGGGTGATATGCTAGGCACCATACCATTTCAACACTCCAGAGGGCCACTCAGGTCTGGCCCAGAGCCTTTTCCCCACGAATATCCAACCTTCAGTCAACTGCTTACTTGCAAAATAGTCGACTACAGGGTATCATCCAGCTCTAGGCTCTAAGCGCAGGAGATGAATATTCACTGCAGGAAAATCGGATGAATCAACATCGATTCTAGAACCGATGATCATGTCAAGACATGCTTATTATGCTGTAAATGTTCGCAAACTTTGAGGCAGCATCGAAAGGCTATTGTCTGGCACAAAGCACGCGTCAAGCCTAAAATGCCACCAAACTATACTATCTTCCTGCAGGGATATTATTCCCGAACGCCCACATCATTTATACCCCACTTTTCTTCACTTGGCAATTCCTGCTTCAGTGTAGGGCTGAGGCATGTGAGCTCGTAGCAGTCGGGGCACTATAGTAACATAGATCTAAGAAAAATTCTGACCATCGGGCGTGCATGACTATATTATCTGATGATGATTAGGTGCCTAGTGTTCGACATACATGGACATGATTACAGAGCAGAGGTGACGGAGTTGAGTTTGGAATAGACGGGGGTAGAGGAAAATTCGATGTTTGGGTGGCTCTTGCCATGCTGTGTAAAGTAGAGTGCAGTTGGTATAAAGAATGCCGAGACATTTCATCGTGAGAAATAACAACGAAACAAAGCAATAGTATCAGTAGTATCAGTAGCTGTTATAGCAAGATTATTTTGATGTCCCCTCTCCCCCCCCCCCCCCCACCAACCTCTGGACCTCCTTTCAGCCTTTTGCTTGCTGCAGGAGGATTTCGTTGCTGGACACGAATGGCAATATGTCTACGGGGTCCTTTATATACTTGTGTCTGGTTGATGGATAACGTTAAGGGCAAGCTCCCTTGGTGATATACACTATCAATTTGATATAGAGGTTCATTCAAAGACTGGGGCGTGGCAACTTCAAAGGTGGAAAACAGCATATGATTCAGCTGGCTCGGACAATGAATAATAAGACAAATCTTCCTATTCTCATAAACAAAAAGCATTTTAGGTGTGCACGATATCGCAAAGCATAACCTGACAACACAGCTAAACCGGTATATCAACTAGGGGGAGACATCTTTGTCCTCGGGGTCAGACTCATAGTTGTCAAATGAGCGGTCATTTCTCACTGTTTCCGTCAAAACCTCGGCTTTACAAATTAACCAGGAGGTAGGCTCCCCCTCCAGTTCCTCGAGTCGTAGAGGCCGATGGCTGAATGGTACGTATCGGATTGGAGTATCGTACCGGCACACTCCCGGCCGAACCACGAGGATTACCCGGCCGTGTGGCTTGGGGACGCACAGTGGAGGATCCTCTTGCTCCTTGAATTGAAACTTTGCCGAGAACATGAGCCCCGTAGAAGTATCAAATTGCTCCAACTCAGGAAGCTGATGAACCTTCACCTGTCCACCCAGCATAACCTCGTGGTTTGTGAGGGCTCGTGCAGTGTCCTGAAAAAATTTCACCAGGCGCTCACGGCGCGCCGTCTCTTCTTCTGCACCAGCCAACTCACGCAGGAGCAGCTGGAACAAACTGTCTGCCAGAAGTTGATCCGCCAGGTCTTTTGCCATGTTTGCCTGCCGCTTGCGGCTCCTGTCTCCACATTCATAAGGTGTTTTGTCCCGAGGGGACTTGGCCATGGCGTCTTCTTTCAGGTTGGCAAGACTGAGTGTGACCGACCTCCACCATACAGCATTGACCGGGCTTGCTAAGAAGACCAGGGATGACATCCCGCCTGTTAGACAAAAAAGAACCCTTTCATGTAATTGGAAACGAGCTGGATTACTCACATTCGTAGTATCTTTCATACAGATACTGGATTCGTTCGGAGAACGACAAGTCTCCAGTCTTGTCAGTTCCATCACGTTTCCCATCTAGGAACCTGAACGGCTTCTCGAGCAAATGAGTGAATATCGTTTGGTAGATCATTGCTTCGGCCAGATATGAGTGAAATACAGCACGATATGAGGGAGGCAGGAGGGACTGAATCTTAGTCCAAGATTCTTGGATACAGTATTTATCAAGTCTTCGAATGATCATCCGTTTCTGTACTCTGGAAAGGGATGGTTCATCCACACAAACAAATGCATCAGTCCAGAAGTGGACTTCGTCTCGGAGGTTGAGATAATCTATTATGACTGCATTCGTATCGGGGTAGTATCCCACTTGACTGAGTGTCATGCGATGACAATGGCTTTGATATTTATCGAAGTCCTCAGCTGTCAGGTGCACCGAGGGCCTTCTGGACGGTCGGGTATCGGACGGTGACTTGCCCTTCGGGGATTCAGTAGGAGAAGGCTCAAGCGGCTCATTGGGACTCTCTGGCAGAGGATCCTGTGGCTTCTATGTGAAGATCAGCCATGAAAGTGGAAGTCCGGGGATTGCCAGGGTTGGGAGGTAGATGCAGGATGATAGGCAGGAGGTGAGAAGGGGGCTATCAACCTTTAGCTTCTTTGTGTTACGGCCTCGTTTACCCGCCATGATTCTCAGAGTTTCGAAGACGCAGGATGGGTGTGGGCGTGATGATGGGAAGAGAAGCGACGGAGGAAGGACAAAGGAGGAGGAAAGAGGGTGTATGTATCACTCTGGGCATCAAAGTCCAATCCCGTGACATTGTCTTGTCTCTCAAGCCAGCAAACGCCACAATAATAGCAGCAGCAGCAGCAGCAAAAAAACCTTCTCCTACCCCACCTAGTCACAACTTCTTTATCTCACGACCATACCAAGACTAGGATCTCTTTATTGTGGAACCGTACCAAAGGCTACGATCTCATTGTCTCGTAGCCGTAGGTTCCTGCATTCGACATCCAATCGTTCTTGTTCCTCGTATCTCTCTAGATTTCTCTCATTTCAGAAGCATGGAAAGGTCCAGATTGGTCATTAATATCGAATTTGGGGCGAGTAAAACAGGTAAAACTCATGCTCTCCAGATGCTTCCTTCTCCCGCATGTGTTCATCACTCACGTCCCATTTTGAATAGTCGTCGGCTATCATGTCACCACAAATGGGTGGAATGGGCTTCCTACGTTCTTACAAATATACAATACCCATATCATTCCAACGGCGATTGCGTACACCCAGGGGGAGGGCTTGTCATGCTGTATTGGAGCGGATGCCCAACGCCAAAAGAACTGCATTTATTGGATAAAACATATATTCGACGATGCTCGCATATTGCGAGACTCTGATGACGAGCTTCTCAAGGAGCTAGTCGAGTCGACATGGCCGCAGCTACCTCGCAGGCAACGCGAGGATCCATCCCTCGTCGTATCTGACTTCCTGGGAAAGATATTAGGACATCTTCAGAGTGCCTTGAAAGATGACCCCACACTCAACGGAATGCCAAAACATTTCGTATTTACCACGCCATCTACTTGGTCGAGTTCTGCGCATATTAAGATGAAACAGGCTGTATATTCAGCAGGGTTTACAAGCCCTCAAGGCGCAAGCGTCTCTTTTACTTCAGAGGCCGAGGCGGTCGCCGTATACGCCGCCAGTGAAGGGGGATTCAACATGGGGCAGCTTTGTGAAGTGAGTATTTAACTACAGGCAAAGGCCTTTTCAAATCGTCGGAATCAATCTAATGACCGGGGTTTTTCAAACAGACAGGTGATGGAGTTATGGTGGTCGATTGTGGTGGCAGCACCGTCGTATGAGTTTTCTTGATAACCAGGAATCTCTTTCCTATACTAATAGCAGGACTAGGACATAACTACATTTTTGGTCGATTAGAAAACCCCTTTTGAATATCAAAGATTGACAGCGTTCACTAGTGAGTAAGGCCTAATGAGGTCATGTTTTCAGCTAATCCTTTGTAAGGTAACGCCTGTGGGGCTGTTCAGCTCCAGTCTCTGGTATATGCTAAAGCGTTGCAGCAAAGTCGGACGTCTGGTCGGATGACGAGAAGTAAGGTCAAGCTACTTCCGTTTGCCGAATGGGCCCGGCAAAAGTTTCCATATGGACTTGTATCAATGCCCACTAATACCGGGCTTTTGGATGCTGCCTTGCGGCTGATCTACAATAGTGTTGCCATCAAGATCATTAGCCATATTCGGCGTGAAATTGCTTGCGCTAACATCTGCGCTGGATGCAAAGTTATTAAGGTACTCTACGATCTGGTAGCTCTCGTATGCATTAAGTGACTAATATCTCTGTCAGAGACTGCTTTTGGTGGGAGGTCTGAGTGGCTCGGCCGAGATCTCAAACGCCATTCAGTACGCATGTGAAAACGAATTCGAGATCGAATTTCACCAGCCACATTACGAGTAAGATTGCCGCCATCTTCGTAACAGTATCCTCCCGTTCTTTTTTCATTCAAAGCTTACAAGCATTTCATAGTTTTCGGAATATAGCCGTTTGTATTGGTGGCACACTGCGCGGCCTCATGGGACCGCAACTGTCCTTCAAATTTTGGAGATATTATTATCTGGTCGACGCGAACCAGCAGATAATCATGATCGTCAGCAAGGTAATGCGTGAGCCTGGTCTATCGAGGTGCTACTGATGGCTTAACCTTCTTCGCAGGGAAGCCCCTATGACAACGAGTACACCAATCGAATCGATATAACACTGCCCCGAGGCACTGACGGGGCCCTTACCATTCTTGTTGTGGGGAGTGCGCAGCAGGTAAACCTGCTCGAATCGCTCGAAGACCAAACCAAGATTGTTGGCAGAATTAACTGCGACTTGTCACAAGTGCCGGGAGACTGGCAACTTCTGAACGTCTTAGTCAAGTACCGAGCCACAGTGAGATCTGAAGGACAACATCTTCCTCCCGAGCGCCTGCTCCATCTGGCTGTGCACGAGTCGGAAAGTGAAGAAAAACGGCTAATAGGCCACACGCGAGTCCTCATGCAGAGTGGGTTGTGAAAGCAGTGCTTGGAGTTTTATTCGGCTACGGTGGGCACGATGGGTAGGGGAGAAAAGAATTGTTTGGACACATAGAATGTAGAATGTTTTGGACGGTTAGAATGTCAATTTCTGTAGGTACCAAGTTGCAAGGTGTCTTTCCTCGAGTCGTCCTGTACAATATACTTCGAAGGATCATGTAGACCGCGCACGGAAAGATTGGATGGAAAAGCGGAAGCTGTACAACCGGTAGGACCAGAACTTACTACAGCCCTCCACCACGGGTACGTAAGAATCTAAAGAAGCAGATACATGGCCCCTATCTAGCATGACAACAACAAACACCACCCTCCCTTGACTCTAAGGCCTTACTTACCATGCATCTATTTTTCAGGTCATTTCCATAAAACCCACTGTCAGGGCCTATACCCTATGCCCCCTCGAAAAAATAAAACAACCAGCTCCTGTCCAAAATCAACATACATAACCGACCATGTCTTGATAAATGTCCACAGACCCCTCACCAAGATGGAAGAATAAAGCAACTCAAAGTAGCCAATGAACAAGTCTTCCCAAACCTTTGAGGTACTATCCATCTCTTTTCTTTCACGACGGCCTCCCAATTTCATCGGTCGGATTGTAAAGTGTACCAAAAAATTTGGCAATATGGCGCGGCCGCCTGCATCGGATCCTGGACCTGGACTCCTATTCCCCCCTCCCCTTTTCCCCGGTGCTCGTGCCATATGGGTTGTTATTGCTATGTTCACCACGTAACAATGAGAGAGAGTAACCAGGGTAGCTTTCATTAGTAGATGATATTTACTTCAGTACATTTACTGAGCATACAGATAATAACTTTGAAAGGGACAGAATCTACGACAAGCGATTTTGAGATCTCAGGTGGTATTACCAAACCTGGTAGTGTCCAGCATATTGCCATATCTTATGATTCACGGAAAAGTTGGTATTTACAAACCTTCTCGAGTTGGTGGGCGAGAAATTCCTGCTTTGATAGATACTACGCGTGCAGGCATAGGCATGTCTTTCGGGCGCAGGTTGGATGGATAATGGTTGGTGCCTCGACCTCTCCCTGTCAGTTTTTATCAAGATCATGGGTAAGTAAGTAAGCGGGTTTTGACATCCATTAGTTCTCTTTGAGGAGATCGGGCTGGGATGCGAAGATCATTTAAAATGCGCATCGTCTCTTTGTAAGACAGAAGTATCGATGGGTCAAAGAGGGGAGAGTTTGGAAGATCCAAATAGAGGGGTGGAGGGAGAGAAAGAAGGGGTAAAAGACAATGAAAATGAGGGTTTTAATGGAACAAAGAATATGGAAATGGATATAGATGGGGAAGGATGATGAAAAACAAAAAAAGAAGATGGGCCCGAACCGCGATTCGAACGCGGGGCCTCTCGCACCCAAAGCGAGAATCATACCTATTATTAGGTTAGACAATGAAGGTGGTGGAATGTTTGATTTGAGGGCTGCTTACCACTAGACCATCCGGGCTCGTATACGTAATGAGGTGGCAAATAGAAAACAAAGGCTAAGAGAGGGAAGATTACGAAGAAGTAAAGCCAAAAAAGAATTGAAGATAGGCCCGAACCGCGATTCGAACGCGGGACCTCTCGCACCCAAAGCGAGAATCATACCTATGAATTTGTTAGACAATGAAGGTGGTGGAATGTTTGATTGGATAAAGCTTACCACTAGACCATCCGGGCTCGTATGTGGGGTTCTTTTGGCTTTTTCCTTACATATAGAGGGTGAAAGTTCGATCCATGCTGAGTTTTCATCTTTCGTTGGTGTTCCATTGGCGGCGTTCAAATATATATGTTTTGGATGGTTGGAACGCTCGAAGAATTTTCACGTCCAGCTCCATGATGCTTATTCATCGCCATTGGCGACCCCGTTTTCCCAGGGTATTGTGTGCTCCTTTAAGCTTCTTTCATCATTACTAGTTTAACGCTTTTCGACTCACCCAGAGAGTCTGTTGGATACCATTTTAGGGATGAAATTCATAGACAACTCAGGTTTGGTCCTTGACAGAAGGGCTTCCTTTTTTATCTTGTCTTTTCTCCTCTTTAATAGTGGTTTAGACTTTGATATGCAGTTATACCTCTACAAAATGTGACCAATACTATATGTAGTAAAATGGCCGTAGCTTCGCGCAAGAACATACAATATTACGGAACCGAATGAATGCAAATACCTATGGGTCCTGAGGAATAGATGCTGCGTAGTTCAAATACTTTGGAGATGTATATTTTGGTCTTCATCAAGGTTGACATTTACTAGCCTTGAAATCGTATCTGAATGCCGGATATATATATATGAGATCGGCGGGTTCTTATTCAATTCTGCAATGCAACAGTACTTTAGTAGTATGTGCACTCATAGCCAAGCATTCAACCCAAAGCAATTATATACGGATGAAAGTCCGAGGCTTCTATTTATAGCTGTAGTATCCATGGCATCGATAGTGCGACACCACACCATTAGTACCGAGCTTTCAGAAGCGGCCCCTAAGCAGTGAGAACTACACAGGCCAGAATAGCTCTTGAGTCCAGCCTCAAAACAATGGATTGAGCTTCATTGTGGGCCTGTGCTTAATCTCACGTAGCAGATCCTTCAATGCTCGTTGGAGCTTCATGTGCTCGGGAACCTCCATGCTGCCAGAAATAAAATCCGGTTCATCGATGTACATCCGGTGACAGTAATTACGTCCCACCAACAACGCCAAATCCTTTTGCAAACGATGTTGGATACCGCACCTCCCCCGCAATATATCTCTTGCCTTAGTTCGATCGAACTTCAGGAGTGGTATTCTCTTGTCGCCAATATTTCCCTTGGAGTACAAGAGCGCCAAGCTGTAAAAGGCCAACCATGTCTTTGGATGTTGAAATCCAAGTCGTTCTGTGAATAGCCGGAGAATGTCTTCGGTTGCAAGCATGGCTTGCCAGTAAATATTTTTACAATTGCATGCTGTCTCGTGCATTGCCACATTAGTGTCCCACAGAACCTTCTCAATTGCCGACTTCGTTCCAACAGCCTCTGCTGCCAAGTCGAGTATATCTAAGGAAGGTAACAACTGCTCTTTCCAGCCCCAAACAAGGTGGAAGTTGAGAGCCGGACGATTTTTCTCGGACCGTATTTTCTCGAGATCTGCATTTCCTGCCACGTCTGTCTTCTGAAGAACGGCCCTTAGCACGATCACTCTGAAACAACCATCCGAGTACCTGATGATGGATGGATCTGAAACTCCCTGCAGGAGGCATACAATGTCATATTGCTTGATCGGTTCCACTGATTTCCCGATGGTCCATCTTACTTTCCACGCTTTCTTGTAGTCCACATTAGCCTGCCCAGTCAGAAGCACTTGCAAAAAGGTCTTTGTGTGCGTTTCTTCCGCGGTGACAATGAGCCCCAGGATCCATCCACTGCTTTGTATGCTTGCAATTTCCCTACCAGGCCAGGTCTTCACTTTTACGTGTTCATCCAAAAAGAACCAGATTAACCGTTGAAAGAGCTGCTCCCAGGGCACCTGATAATTGGGTAACAGACCGGGTGCTTTATGAGCATCAGAACTCAGTCCCAGTAAAGCATAGATTTTATCATGCAGAATAGTGGCCTCGTTCGTATGATGCATATCAACCAATTCGGACAGAGAGAGCTTCTTCATTGAATGCGTTGCATACTGAGGTCGAAAGATTGCTCCACGGATCAGATGTGTTGTACTCAAAACACTAGGGCCAGCATACGAGCCCCATGCTTGAATGCCCGTGGCAAATGTGTAACCGCTCATTCTGACAGGACCACACTGTATCTGAATATTCCGAGCGAGACCTACTTCTTGGAGGATCTGTTATATCTCATTAGACATTGGATATCGCTGCGTAAAGAGCAGGAGGAGGGGGAGGACGGTGGTCATAGCGTGGTAATACTTACTCACATGCGATAAAACCATGTCCGCTGGAACAGACTTTTGACCCCCTCAATGGGGATGCTGTCTGATGGCAGATTAAAAAGTTCTCCAGCAAACACTCCCTCTGCCGCTTCACGAATAGCTTCTAAAGCCCGAGTACTATTATCCGCCTCCTCGCCCAACCACACCATCACCTGGCTAGCCTGCTCATACATGCGCGCCATGTTTTGGATTTGCTTCTCTTTCTCCCTCATGTTGTTCTGGTCGATGCAAATTGCGTCGACCCATAATGTCCGTTCAAAATTAGGGCCTCGAAGCCTAAGGAGGGCGGAGTGTAAATTCTTCCCGACTGTGAAAGCCTGGTTGTTGATTGAGATGTTGCACTGTCCGTCCGCCTTATCTCCCCATACGTATGAGAGGGCGTCATACTCTTGGGCAGTATCGTCCAGAAGAGAATAATTGGAAAGCTGGCATGCGATCGGAGCGGCTCTGTCCTTGCTTGGGAGCAGACGAAGTATGCGAGTGCTGAAAGGCCCCTGATCCAGAGGAGAATATTGGAAGACGGGCATGGTTGAGAATAGCAGTACTTCTTTTGGGTCACTTTACGGGATGAAGGTCCTACAGCGTCGTTTATGAGCACTTTACACATGCAGAATAGCCGTCCCTGATATCCCGTGTCAACGATGCAACGGATGGAATGCCCATCGAATTCGTATGAAGCTGATGTGCCAATAATGGTGGGGATTAGAAAGCCGTTGAGATGCCGACCGTGTGGAATTAGCCAACGAGGTGCACCTTAGCGAGGGATTCTCGTGCATCTCCTAGTAGTAGTAGTACTTAATACAGTAAGAGTGTCGACAACCCGTCCTTGCAAGATTGGCTGGCTGTGTCCCTGCTTATCCTTGGTTCCCCGCCATGAACAACGCATCAGTTTCCGGTCCTACCCCTCCCCCCCTCACCACCCATCTAGATTAAATCATGCACGCGGCCCAAGGGGAGTACCGCCTATCTACTCTGCAACTGGCTGCGGATGCCCCACTGACAGGAGCGGATAAAGGCATTAGGCGAGAGCGGGGTTGTCACTTGTATGTATAGTCTATAACATGCTTGCGAATATTATTGAAGAATGCCGACAACGGATTGGTTCCACATCCTGATTAGTCTAAATAAGGTAGCCCCCGAGTAGCGTCGGTCCAAGAATAAGTACGGGAGAAATATTCCGTAGACGAACGGTGATGGTCTGGAGGTTGTGTCAAGTACTTATATTGACTTGCTTCAGTATACTTTGACAATTCTGCATATGCTGTCCTGGGCCATCTGCGCAAGGTGGATGGACTGGATATCCATAACATAAGTCCAATAAATTTCAGCCGTGAAGGTATAACATGAACTAAGTCAGTAATAAGGCAAAGGTGGGTGACTAACTGATAATGCTCTCGTACACAGATGAAGGCGAAGTGGCACTATCACGTTATGTCTCAGAATCTAAAGTAGTTGACCATCGAGGAGGCTGGATTATACTAATAGTAATAGTTGGTTACGTAGATGGATGTTATAGACTTGTCAACCGATGATATATTATAAGCCGCGGATAATATTATGGCCGCGATAGCATCAATCCTGCATTGAATATAGGTCACGTGATACAGACCGGGGTATTCCAATAAACAAACCTGATTGAACCATTGCAAGCCTAAAATTGAGACAAATAGTGCGATTTGAAGAGGAGTTCATTGTTTTAGAATACATCCAAATCTAGCTGATCCGCAACGATTATTCCATCTGCATCATATCTAATAACTAATCAGTCTATATAGCAATAGATCTGAATAATGATCAGCCACAGGGTGGGCCCGGGATGCGAGGCGCAGCAGCGGAGTAATCCACGCCAATCCGATCTGGGCGAGTAGTACCGACTTTTTGGTAGCAGTACTGTTTCGGGCCCGATTCCAACTCACCTCTTTTTCTCACCGTGCGCTGGCCTTCTTTCATTCATTCCTTCGTTTGTCGCTGCTTCGCTCTTTCCCGCACCTTCTCTCTGCCCAATTCTTTGCCATTGGGAGCCTTGTTGCTGTCAGGCTTCGATTCCATCTTGAAACAACGGCTCTTTCGATGTATAGATAGAGTGGTGTCTCACTTCTGTGCCGGACCCATCTCCGCCCTTTAAAAAAGTTCCACACACTCCTTTATCAATATCATTCGATCTCAGTTTTTCATATATACATTCATCCGTTGTTTGATATTATAGGGTGATCATCTATCCCCCTCGGAATTATTATCCGATAATTAGCAGGGATATCCGATACCCAGCAGAGAACCATGTGGTATCGCAATGCTCAGCGGTCCGTGATCTCTTTCTCTCGGGCTGGCCTGCGGACACCTCCCAGGACAGCAACCACAACTACTAGTGTTACGCGCATAGCAACCCCCTCCTATCGACGGGGTTTCTCACAGGGCTCAACTCGGAGAAATACGGACTCCTCCTCTTCGGACCAAAATGCCTCCAAGGAAGGCAAAAGGCGGAGGAGCGACGACTCGGAAGAGGAACCTACTTTGCGGTCGACTTTATTAAAGATGGGGGAGTCTGCGGCTACTACTCTTGCTTCGATGGCTGTTCTTGGGTAAGCTATCTTGTTCTTTTTCAATGATGTAATTCCATGCTAATACCTGCTAGTATGGTTGGATACGCGTACCATCGGTACTACAAGTATCTCATTCTGGAGAAGATGGAAAACGCCTTCAAACCGGGTGACCCGGCCCTCGAGCTGGCCGGTGTGGAAGACGGAAAGCACCAGTCTACCTACGAGGAGCATTGGGTGCATCGCGATGAGCAAGCCAGAATGGATAGAATCATCTCCGGTAACGCTGGAGGTCGGTATTACCTACTGATCGGTGAAAAGGGGACCGGAAAGACGTCGATGCTTCTTGAGGCAATGCGTAAGATTGACGGCGAGGGCTGTGCCATGTTCGAAGCTCATGCTGATCTGGAGCTTTTCCGAATTCGTCTGGGAAAGGCTTTGGACTACGAGTTCCATGAAGAGTAGGTCTACTAAATTATTCTTCGCCTATGTGTACAGCGGGTTGCTGACGCCACTTGTACAGTTACATCGGCAGTCTCTTCAGTATCAAGGGCCCTCGGGATACTACCGCACTCCTTGATATCGAGCGCGCTTTTAACAAATTGGAAAAGGTTGCTCTTGCCAGAAGGCGCAGCAAGAAGTCGCCTTTGGTCTTGATAATCAACAGTGCCCACCTGATCCGAGATGATCACGATGGCCAGGATCTGCTTGAGGCGATCCAGCAACGGGCCGAACAGTGGGCTGCAAGTGGGCTTGTGACAACAGGTAAGCTTATGTACAGATCCATGCATATATATTTGAGTATTGACGGAAACAGTTTTGAACAGCGACGAGTACTGGGTGTACGAACGCCTGAAGAAGTACGCTACCAGAATGGAGGTCATCCCTGTGCGCGACCTCCCGAAAGACCGAGCAATGGAAGCCCTGAGAAAGTACCGCAAGCAGTATTTTGGCCAGGAATTGACCCACGAGGAACTTGAGGAGGTTTACAATCTCGTTGGCGGACGATTGTCCTACCTCAACCGAGTTGCCAAGGCCCTAGACTACAAGAAGCTCTGTGAGAGCATCTGCGAGGCCGAGAAGACGTGGTTCCTCAACAAGTGCTGGATCCTGGGTCCTGAGATGGACGACGATGTGATGGACCAGCAGAAATATGCTGTAAGTGCAACCCCCTCTGTCGATGACAAAAGACCGGCGCACTGACCGAGGTGTAGTCTGCGGCAATGGTGCTGGCGAAAGCACTTGTGGACAAAGGAGAGGAAATGGACAGGACGTATGATCCGAAGCTGGGCCATATTCTTCCAGAGATCCCTCTCCATGAAGCGCGACAGATCATGACGCGCGCGGACTTCATCCAGAGCTACGATCACGAGAACATTTTCACCATTGATTCGCGAGCGATGGTGCGTGCGGATTCGGTGCCCATGCAGAATGCGTTCAAGGAGATCTGTGATTGGCCAAGATTCGACGAGCACCTGGAAGGCACTCTTACGCGCATTGGAGACATTGAGAGCTTGGGACGTACTCGGGAGCTGACGATCAAGGACCTCTGGAACCAGGGCAAGTATCAACTGGTCATGCGGGACCACAAGGGTCGTGAGCAGGGTGCGGCAGAGTTCTCCGTCGTGGAGCCAGAACAGGAGAAGGAGGATAATTGAAGACCAGGTTTAGCCTGGTGAGCCTGTATGATATATAGAAGATGGAGGGTCTCTGGGATACCTGATCTCGGAGGATATCCCAGTGTACTACTACTACATGTGCCACATGGTGGGAAAGTGGCTTAACCGACCCATGTATTTAGAAGATTCGCTTCGAAGCCACTTACGACTGTCTTATAGAATACACTAACTGCATCTTATCCGAGTTATTTGGGTCTTTGGATTCTTTGGGGCATCGTCACCGGTGACATCATTGTCAGGGTATCTCTCACCGCCCGGCAGCTCATTCTGGCCATCGCATCATCCCAGCCTCATCTTTATTTCGCTGCTTGTCATTGTCCTCTCCTCGCTTTCCTCCCCTCTTCTTTTTCCCCTCTCTTCCTGATCCCCCCGACCCTGTCCATCACACCATCAATTTCCATCCCCCAAAGCAATCCCACCCACCAACAAAGCAATGGCTCCCCGCAAGAAAGAAGTCCTCTCCGCGGTAACAGCAGCCGACGACGATACCGCCGAGAAGACGACGCGCCAACTGCGTCACAAGACGCGCCTGGACCGCATCCACCCCGCCGTGCGCTTCGTCCTCGCCGTGCTCGGTAGCTTGACATTGAGCTCGACGCTCTTCTCCCTAACGACGGGGATCACCCTCGGCGAACTAGGCCGCGTGAGCAAACATCTTGAGACATGGTGGGAGGTAGGAGGTCTGATGGCCTGGAAGGCCGTCGAGGTTGGACTTGCCTGGATCATGGGTTTTGACGGTATATATTCATCCCCGTATAACTTCATATCATCATCAGTGAGACTAATCCAGTAAATACCACAGGCCGCGACGTCCTCTCCTTCACCTATCTCACCCACCTCCCCACCTTCAGCCTCCTCTCGACCTTCTACAGCCTGCGCCCAACGACAATCCTAACCAGCTACTTCATCACTCTCCTCTCCACCACTCTCCCCTTCGTCCTCCTTCGCAACCTCACTCCCCTCCACTCTTTCTCGGATTCCACGCGCATCCCTAACCGGTCCATCCTCAACGACCGCCCGACAACCATCTACACCACCATCGCCGCGGCCGCCATCTTCACCGTCACCCTCTCCCTCAGCTACGCCACGCCCTGGCTTCCCACCACCCTCGTCACCCACTTCCAAGACATCCCGGACGTCACCGCCATCCACGCCGGTCCCGCCGCTCTCCCGGGCCTATTCCTCTCCCTCCTCCCCGCTGGCTTGGCGGCGCGCGATTTCCTCTTCGCCAGCTCGACGGGTGCATCCTCCAGGAATTTCAAGAAGAACAGCAACAACAAGAACAAGGAGGGAACATCCAGCCCCGAAGGGGAGTACCTAGCCTACACCGTCTACCGTAAAACATGGGGTACCCTGTCCCGCAAGACGCAAGTGCTGGTGTCCCGCACAGTTCTGCTAGCAAGCATGTTGTTCGCCAACACAGTTGTGCAGGTCGCAGGGACAGTGAACCAGGTAGACGCCGAAGGCGCAATGGTCTGGGGTGCAGTGTGGGCCATCGCGGCGGTTATTACAGGCGCGATGTTCGGATGGATTGAGGCCGTGGATGGAGTATAGTTCCATCAGCTTCATTCATCATCAGGTTGAGAGAAAAAATAGTTCCTTTCATCCGATTTATGATGATGTCACTTGGTGTTATTTTCTTACTTCCTGTTGGTCTCTTTATTTCCCCCATTTTTCCGACCATTTCTTCCTGTTCAATGAGATGTTATCTCTCCGTGACACAGAAGCAAAAGCAACATTCTCACACCATGTGGTTTTCTTCCCTTTTCTTCCCCCGCCCGCCGTCAGCTAGTCAGTCAATCAGTCAGGTAGTTATTTCTCCGAGAGCCAACCAACCAACAAGCTAGCTAGTTAGCATCCTTGATTTTGTCATTTCTTGTTTGCTGTTCATTATTCATTATATGCTTTAGTCCACTTACAATCCCAGCCGTGGCGTTTTGCGAAACAAGGAACAGAATAATAAAAAGTCGGAACCAGGAGCAGGGATGATGTGGGAAATTTGAGAAATAATTAAGGTTTGGTCTGAGTATCAGGATTAGGGTCAGGAACAGGGACAGGGTATCTATCTGATTCGGGGGTCAAGTGTTTCGGCGGCGTGTTTCAAGTTGGTGTGTTTCAGCGGGTAGTCTTATTTTTGAGATTTGTTGATCGTTGAGTTAAGGTGATTTATCTGGGGCAATGGTGTGTCTTGTCTTGTCTGGTCTGGTCTTTGGGGCCATGTTACGATGTTATGTTTGTAATGAATAGTTATTTTGCTACTTGGCTATGATTGTCATGATTGTCGAGTATTCCTTTGGTTGAGTTGATTATAGTTGATTGATTTCCATGGTGCTGGGGCAGGGGAATCATCTAGTTCATTAAAGTTGAAAGGGAAAAGCTAATTACATAATGCCACACTCCCATCCATCTATCGATTTTTTGAACGCTGCGTTGACATACCAGAGACCAGAGGCAAAGCACGTGGACTCGCATTCATGGCGTTGAGAATAAGGTTAAAAAAGTGAAATGGGGTCAATGAATATATGTCTGGAATAGAAAATAGGAAAGGTGAGAAGCGACAAAATTATCGCATCTCCATTCCACTAGCCACCCCGTCTGGAGAGTAGATCTCGCGGTGGAACGGCTTGACTTCGTTTTTAGGCAGCAGCCATCCTGGATGGAAGATGTTGAACACACCAACCGCTAGGACCATCATGATACCGTCCAGGACGATGAAGTATCGCTCGTGCGTGATCAAGTAGCCAGACCACCCCTGCGACAGCTCGATGGTTCGATAGATACTCCGAATGTAGATGCAGACGACAGAGAAGATCATCGCGCCGAGAAGAGGGATGATCGTGCCAGTCATGGTTTGCAGGATCCGCATACGGAGAGTGCGACGGACGAAATCAGCGGCGAGGAAAACAAAGACCGTGATAGACGCGAGCTGGAAGACGATACCGGCGACCATGGTGTGTGTGCCTGGAGCAGTATCGCCGTTGACCTTGTTTACTTCCATCGACGCCATGCCACCTCCCACAGCCTGGACGACCAATGAAATGATATCGCAAGTGACGAAGATCCAGAGATAGAGTTTTGGTCTCAAAATTGAGGTCTCGGGCCCCAACAGGTGGATGAAACGGCCCAGGAGCACGTAGATCCCGGCGGTAAAGAAAGTGGGGGCTAGAGAGAGGTAATTAGTTTCTGTTTCATGAAATGGATATGCGTGTTCCAGCTTGCGTACCGATGATCAAGGTAGAGATTTGCATGAGAAAGGCGGTTCCATTGTATGGGCATTCAGCAGACCAGGTACGTGCTGCCCAGCCCAGGATTTCCGCTGTGATGGCCGAGTTAGCGTACGGTTGAATGGGACTCTTGTAGGAGGGGTTGACATACTGATACATCCAAGAACGAAGACAGCGCACCACCAGGTCCTCTTCCACACCAGCTGCAATGTGTGGAGCAACATCGACAGACCGAAGAGGACACAGAATACAATGCCGGCAGCTAGCGAGGGAACGTAGCCATACGATGTGCCGTAGCCATCGATCTTTGCATGACAACCATAGTTCAATTGCTTCTTGAATTCATATTCCGCAGTAGAGTTAAGGCTCGACATATTGGCGTAAATGAAGGCCAAGGTGGTCCAGACCAAGTATGCCGAAGATTATATGGCGAGGCCAAGTGCGTCTGTGGACAGAGTAAGGAGAGAAAGCGGTTTTGAGCCAGCGAAACACGCTGCAGATTAATATACGATCAGAAAACAGGAATAAACGAATGACACCGAACGGGCAGGCTGTGCGCTAATCGAGCCTAGAGGGGTTGAGCTATTTGCTGTTGGACATAGATGTATGTGTATGAATATGCACGGGGTACCAATCGGCGAAAAGAAAAGGAAAGACGGGCATCAGGAAGGAGAGGCTCTGCCTATAAAGAAGAAAAATGGGAAGAACTGTGATAGAAATCCTTTTAAACTCTGCCCCCATACTCTATTCTTGTCCGTTCAATAGTGATCCCCGTCCTCCTGGCTGCCCGTCTCTGGGCGCCACCTGGTACGGCGGGGACACCCGTTGCAGGGAGCAATCTTATTGCACCTCACGAGAGTAGGCAGGGCCTGCCTTGCAAAAGCAAGCACTTCATTCGGCTAACAGACTGGCGAGACCCAAAAAAGAGTTGGGGGGACGAGATGATAGCTCGCAAGGTTCGCTCAAAGAGGTTTAGCGCGTCTCGCATGAAGCCGGTAACTCCGGCCTTTTCCATCAGACGGTTTCGCGATAGAATTGTGAACAGACATCTCCCTAAGATGATCATCCTGTTGTCGCTGTAAGGCTGCTCATCTGATAGGACCCTTGACTGTCAAGGATTGTGGTTAGGACCGTTATGCCGTGTCACTGCTAAACTCAGTAGAATCAATATATGCCATGCAGCCCAGGCAGTGATGCATGGCCAAGACCGATCTGGAAACAGGGAACCCGAGAGTCCGTCCACCGGGCTACCATACCAGCATTAAGGAACAGCACGGAGTACAGTCAATAGTTCTGAGACGGGATCGGAGCTATGATAAGGCCCGATGTTAGGTTGCGGAACATCGAATGAAACCTGAAGCTAGGCTTCAATCAGACATGATGAATGGGATGTGGTCGTCGTTCAGATCACCCTAGTCACTCACTAGACAGGGAGAGTTAACTTAACAGTAGTAACTCACGAAATGCAAGCGAAAGAATATTGATCGATAATCACATGCAGGGAAGAGCGGAGAACTTCCTGCACCGGCAACATCCAAATACGGAAGGCGCGTCTGGCAACCCCGCTGCCCGCCTCAGGCATCAATATATTACTTCACTCCCTCCCTCCCTCTCTCTCTCTCTGTCTCCCACGCAGCCTTCAGCCACGAAGTCTCAGCCTCTCACAATTTCAAATCACTAATCACAGTCTTTGGAATGTCACAGCAAAGTTTCAGATTCACTCACTTCTTGGCGATGCGAGTCTAGTCCCGCCAGTGAGAACCTAGATGTCAAAATCTCTACGTCCGTATGCGATGGCTACGATATTGTTATCCTGCCTGATCAACATCCCCGACAGCTGCACAAAGACGGACAGTTTCATATTCATTCTTCTCTAACGCTAATAATAGGTCATGTCTTTTTCATATGCTTCACGCTTAGATCATCTTATTGACTCTACTCATCCGGATTTATTCGAACGAGGGCATATCATACGTATCATCCGGGTCTGTGCACAGTCAGTATGAGCAATATTCGACCGGTCCACGGCAGGTGAAGCTCTTACCTTTGCGGTTGGCCAAAATGTACTTGCGTGTCTCCACGATGTTGTGGTCGAATTCGCTGACCAGCTCGTGCTGCCGGATCTGAACCTTCTCATTCCGTCTGGACGCCCCAATCACGGCTGCCTTCGCCACGTGGTATCGTGAGACGTGATTCAACAACATCATATCGAATGGCGTCGTCGTGCTTCCTTCTTCCATGTATCCTTCCACTGAAACCCGGTCCAGGCGGGGCCGTCCGAAGAGCAGACCCTTCAGCTCGCCCGGGTATCCGTGGTAGTTGAAGTGTATCGGCCGGTCCGAGCCAAATAGGCTGTCGAAGGCTTCTGTGGACAATGCATGTGGATGTAGACCTTCCTTCTCCAGAATCATCAAGTCGGTCACATTGACCACCCGCACCCGGAGTTCTGGACAACGCTTGCGGAGGATGGCCGCCGCGTAGATGACCTCGAACATCACCTCGACTCCAATGCCAACCAGCACGACATCCGGGTCCAGCCCATTGTCGGTGCTACAGAATCTCCAGATCGATGCGCCGGCTCGGCAGTGACTCTCTGCTTCCTCGGGACTCAGGTATACCGGAGTTGGCTGCTTTGAACCCACCATGAGGTTGACGTAATTCTTGGACTTGAGACAGTGATGAAGGGTGGTCAAAAATGTATTAGCATCAGGGGGCAGATAGACACGCGCGGTGGTGGGCTTCAGCCTGAGCACGGCTCCGATGAAGGATGGGTTCTGGTGAGAGAACCCATTATGCTCCTGACGAGCCCATGTACTCGTTTCGATATAGTTGATGCTACTGACCGGCTTGTGCCAGGTCGTCTCTTGAGCCTGTCATGGCAGTATTCGTTAGTATCGGGTGATCCAGGAAGAAGTACTGCAGACACATACCATTTTGTTGAACTTGGCATATTGCACCATCATGGTATGGATGATTCCCAAGAAGCTTTCATACGATGGGAAAATGCCCACCCGGCCCGTCAATGTGTATCCCTGCATAAAGCCCTGGCACAGGTGCTCACTGAGCACTTCAATGACGCGGCCGCCTTTAGCATTCGAGAATTGATCCCACTGAAAGTTCCTTCCCGTGTGCGCAAGTGCTGCATCCAGCTTGTTGCTCTCTAGCTCATCTGGTGAGAACACTCGGACGCCGTGGGGGTTCTGGGTAAACACCTGGTCAATGAATTTTCCAATCGTCTTCATAGCGCTTTGCTGGGAGCCCTTGTCTACACCAAACTTTCGCCAATCTGGGAGATCGGGTGCTCTATAGCCCTTGTAGGATTCTGCTCGCTGCCCCAGCTTCTTGGAGTCTTCCCGAGGGATAACAGACTTGATTTCGTCAATGATATCTCCGGTCTCAGTGAAAAGTTCGTGCGGATTATACGAGGAAAGCCATTTCTGCAGAGCTTGAAGCTCCTCCTTGTCCTTCTTTGCATTTGGAAGAGGGACCTGATGCGAATGGAAAGATCCCTCTATGAACGACCCGTGGAGCTCTTTAGGTCCTGACCAGCCCTTCAAGGATAATTAGCGGAGATCCAAGGTTAAGGCGGATATTATCATACCTTAGGTGTGCGCAAAACAATCATTGGCCATCTAGGCTTCATTATTGGCTTGCCGGAACGCGCCGCTTTTTGGATCTTATGGATCTCCTCAATTGCCCACATCATCGAGCCGTGGAGATCTGCATCAATGTCATCGAGGTTCTCAACAATCCGCACCTGGTATCCATAACCCGTGAAGAGGGAGACCAGCTCTTTGTTGTCCATGCAGCCATAGATGGTGCGCTCGCTGATCTTGAAGCCATTGACGTGGAGGATCGGCAGGACGGCACCTGATTCTGCAGGGTCAATGTACTTGATTGCATGCCAGGACCTGTCTGCTGTCAGATTGTGTTCGAATAGGTATTTTTAGGTACTTACGTCGCGGTAGGACCAGTTTCTGCTTCTCCGTCACCAACCACGCAAGTGACCATCATGTCCGGATTGTCCATGACAGCACCATATGAGACGGCCAATGCATAACCCAGCTCACCACCTTCATGGATTGCACCGGGGGTTTCCGCGTTGATATGGCTTAAAGCAGTTAGCTTGGCTTCAACTCAGAATCCCAGCCAAAGTCATACCTTGGTAAACCAGCGCTTGTGCTGAAAGTCGAGATGAGCTCATGAAGACCATCCATGTCTCGGGAGTAATTGGGGTAGAATTTTTCTAGAGAGCCCTCGAGCCACAGCGAAGCCAGAATAGCTGGAGCGCCGTGTCCAGGTCCAACGACATACAACATATCCAGGTTATGCTTTCTGATGATATAGTTCAAATGGGAGTATATGAGGATCAACCCGGGACATGTTCCCCAGTGGCCTACAGATCTGTGAGCGGAGCTTGCGGAGGACAGCACCGGGAGCTAGGAGATACTAACCAAGAAGCCTTGGCTTGATATCCTCATGCTTTAGATTCTGTTTCAGCAGCACATTGTCCTGGAGAAAGATCATTGCTTGTGTGACGGGTCAGTGAATGTAGGCTGGAAATTTGGGAGCCTCGATCTCACCAGCAGCAATGTAGGCCGCTGCTCGGCGGAATTTCAGCAGGGCATTGTAGTCAGATTCCTCCAAACTCGTCTCTTGGAGTTTGACCTGCAATTGATTGACAAGGTCGGGGATATGTGAAGGCTCAGCCTTGGGATTTGGCCTGTCGATGACCTCTCCAGGCATGGTGATTTGATGGATGTAGATTGGTCACTTGGTAAAATAAAAAGGTAGTATATCCGTGGAACTAAGTATTAGGGTTCGTTCGAGATCCTAGGGTCTATGGAGGGGTAGATCTAATAGCACGTGGAAACAAGAGTCTAGGCCACTTTCTGCAGCTGTCAAAGATGGTAAAAGAAGGAGATCATACCACTGCCTCGACTGCACTGCTTAAAATAAGAACAGGGAAGCGAGGTGGTGAGGTTGTTGTTGTATGGAGACCCCTGGCAATACGTCACTCCCCGAGTGACATCACCCGCCGTCGCAACCGGGAACTGAGCTGCCACCACCAACAAGCATCAACCCACAACTTCCGAGATCAAGGCCCGACAAGGGTTCAGAAAGCCTATAATTGAATCTTTTTTTCTCTAGCAGCCAGCCAGCAAGCTAACTCAACGTGTCCCCGCACCCAATTGCTCCGCAACAACATGGCACGCAAATCCGTCCTCTCCGTCAATGCCGGATCCTCTTCGGTCAAGCTTACCTTCTATACCTACGAAAAGACCCCAAAGGTCATTGCTGCTGCGCAGGTTTCCGGTATCACTGCCCCACCAGCAAAGCTGAAATATACGAGTGGCGACAAGCAACACAAAGA